ACGATTCCTGAAATATTACTTTTGATACTCTATTATTCTTCATTGGAAGTTAGTACCCACTTTTGTTTTCTTTTTTATGTCAGTGGGCTATTCATTTGTTCTGATAAGTAATCATATTTCAGATGATGCTGTTACCATCTGCACTACCATAACACATCACAAGTTTTAATTGACTCCTGTCTTGTCATGGCGTGACAATCTAAATGCTCAAGCTGAGCATCTGATTAATGACTCTTGTATTTTATCCAAGTTAGTTTGTCTATAGCCCTTGTTTGACCCTTTTCAGTTTTTTGATGGTATTGTCGCTTAGTAAAATACGATAAGTTTTGTCCTTACTTTTTATTTCCAGTTCTGGTAGGAGCACATCCTTCTTACTGATTGTGTAGCACCGGGTATGCCTGGGGTGGGATTGTAAGCATTCCACATGGGATTTGGATTAATAGAGCACACTTATCCATTGTCCCAAAATATAAAAACACAAATACCACTATCAAGTAGTTTTGTAATATAGAAAAGGAAATGCATGAGTGTAATTGCTTAAAAACTATTAAACATATTTGTGAGGCTCGATTATTCTTGGCTCTGGAAGGGCTTGTATACTTTGAGACTCTGCACCAGTCCTTCAACTGATCCTGCTGCGGCCACAAGTGACACTATCATACAGGCCCAGCTGAGCACCTTCAGCGATATCCAGGTAAAAGAATACTTCTGCATTTTTGTTTGTGCAATGTGCATTTCTATCGGAAAGTAGACTGTTAATAGCCAGAATGATGCTGCCCTGATGAGACCCACGAAGTCATTGAGGAATGGAAAGATCATGGTCACCACAACCGTCACAATGACATATGCCGTCCTCCACACCAACCTGAAGAAGTTAAAATGGTATGCGCCAAAAAACAGAATACGAATTTCATGCTCCTCTGTTATGAACTTGTTTTCACGCCATTTTTCTGAGCATCTGCTCTCAAAAATCTTGAATAGAGGCTGGCTGGAAAGCTGGATGGACAATAATCATGTTAGGCAGCAGTCGATATGCGTACTTCCTCTCTTTCATTTGTCTTAATTTGACTTGATTAATTAAACCTCAATGATTAGTTGGTTAAAGGACACATATATCTCCTAGAAAAGTTTTATTATCTTTAAAAATATGAGTAATGGAAATAA